ACCAAAATATTGCATTATAGTTCAAGAAATTGTTAATTTTGAGCTCATCTAAATTATTTGCCAATAGGTATAAACGACTAAAAATGACCGAAAATCATGGGTTATAGCTAATGAAATCATGCATTTGTACTCCGCGAAATTATTTTCTAATGGCTCCATATGATATAAAATGAAAAAAGTATGCATTATATCTTATAAAATAGTGAATTTTGGTCTCTGTCTAATTATTTTCCAATGGGTCAAAACGATTAAAAATGGTCAGAAATCGTACGTTATAGCTCATAAAATCGTGAATTTTGGACTACGCAAAATAATTTTTCAATTGGTTGAAACAACTAAAATGACCAAAAATCATTATAACTTATTATATTATGAATTTTGAACTCTGTAAAAATATTTGCCAATGTGTAGAAAATAACTAAAAATGCCCAAAATTCATAGATTATAGATCATGATATCATGACTTTTGAACTCCACAAAATTATTTACCAAGGGGTCAAAATGATTATAATTGGCAAAAATTTAAGGGTTATATAGTTCATGACATGAATTTGTAGACTCCGTGAAATTGTTTACCATGGATCTAATAACTAAAAATAAGCAAATATAGTAGGTTATAACTAATAAAATTGAGAATTTTAAACTCCGTGAATTATTTGCTAGTGGGTAGAAACGACTAAAAATGGTCAAAAATCATGGGATATAGCTCACAATATTATGAATGTTAGCCTCCGCGAAATCAATTCAAAATGAGTTGAAATAACTAAAAATGGCCAAAAGTTATTTGCTATAGCTCATGAAATTGTGAATTTTAGCCTACGTGAAATTATTAACCAATGAGTCAAACAACTAAAGTTGGCAAAAAAATCGTGCATTATAACTCATGAAATCATGAATTTCAAATTCCGCAAAATTATTTTCCAATAGGTCAGAACGGCTAAAAATAGCTTATGAAATCATGAATATTAATTAGACTCCACGAAATAATTGCCATGAAAATGGCTAATAATTATGGGTTGTAGGAGAATAAGTCATGAAATGGCCTCCAAAAACTTATTTTTCAATGGGTAGAAATGATTAAAAATAGCCAAAATGGTGCATTAAAACTCATGAAATTGTGAATTTTAGACTCTGTGAAATAATTTACCAATAGGTGCAAACGACAAAAAATGGCCAAAATTTATGCATTATAGCTCAGGATATCGTAAATCTTGGCCTCCTTGAAATTTTTGCCAATGGGTTGAAACGACTGAAAATGATAAAAAAAAATCATGTATTATAACACAAGGAACTTGAATTTTAACTTCCGTAAAATTATTTGCCAATGGGTGGAAACGACAAAAAATGGCCAAAAATCTGATGTTATATAGCTTATGATATCATGAATTTTAGACTCTGCAAAACTTTTGCCAATGAGTTGAAACGACTAAAAATAGCAAAAAAATTGTGGGTTATTGCTAATCAAATCATGAATTTTGGCCTTCACGAAATTATTTTTCATTGGGTCAAAACGATTAAAAATGGCGAAAAACTATACATTATAGATAATGATATCATGAATTTTAGCCTCAGTAAAAATATTTGCCAATTGGTTGAAACGACTAAATATGGCCAAAAAATAATAGATTATAGCTCATAAAAATATTAATTTTGAACTCCACGAATTTATTTGCCTATGGGTAGAAACTACTAAAATTGGCCAAAAACAAGGGGTTACTGCTAATAAAATCATGAATTTTGGACTCCGTGAATTTATTTTCCAATGGAGTCGAGATGACAAAAAATGGCCAAAAATTGTGCGATATTGCTCATGAAATCATAATTTTTTTTCTTTCGCAAAATATTTGCCAATTGGTCAAAATAATTAAAACTGGTCAAAATTTGTGCGTTATAGTTCATGAAATCATGAATTTTAGACTCCACAATACAATTTGCCAATGGGACAAAACAACAAAAAAGAGCCAAAAATCGAGCATTAGAAACAACTAAAATGACCAAAAATCACGGGTTATAGGCTTATAACTCATGAGATCACGAATTTTGGAGTCCGTAATATAATTTACCATTTGATGGACACAACTAAAGATGGCCAAAATTCATGGGTTATATTGCTCATGATACATAAATTTTAGCCTCTATTAAATTGTTTACAAATAGATCTAAAGAACTAAAAATTAGCAAATATTGTAAGTTAAAGCTCATGAAATTGTAAATTTTAAACTCTTTGAATTTATTTTTCAATGGATAGAAACACTCAAATTAGCCAAAAAATCTTGCGTTATAGCTTGTGATTTCGTGAATTTTGACCTCTGCAAAATTATTTATCAAATGGTCTAAATGAAAAATCATATGTTATAGCTCAGGAAATCGCGAATTTATTCTCTGTAAAATTATATGTCAATGAGTTGAAACTACTAAAAAACGCCAAAAATTGAGCAATCATTATAGCTCATGAAATCGTGAATTTTGGCCTCCACGAAATTATTTGCTAATGTATCAAAATGACTAAAAATTAATAAAAATCGTAGGTTATAGCTCATGAAGACACAAATTTTGGACTTCACAAAATTATTTGTCTGAATAGAGCCAATTAAAAATAATCAAAATTCAAGTGTTATACCTCATAATATCATGAATTTTTTATCTGTTAGTAAAAATTTGACTAGAATGTGGTTAATTAGAACAAAAACTCATTTTAAAGGTAGTTTACATATAAATTAAAAATCAAATATAGTTTATGTACAATGACCCAATTTTTAACGTGGTTTCTAGGAAACACACAAAAAATTGACGCGTCATTCCTAAAGGCACAACAAAGTGACTCGTGCCATATCATAAATAGTCATACGTTGCTCTATTCTATCAAATGATGACATGTGAGCACAAATGCTAGTATTCAAATATTTGGTAATCATTTTTCTGTTATAACAATCCATATATAAAGTCTAATAATCATACATTTAAAACAAAAAAATACAAAACATCTTCAGAAAAAAAAATACAAAAGGCCTCCTAATAAATTAAAAACTTACAAATAGCCCCATAAACAAATACAATTAGCTTTCTAAAAAATCTTGAATTTGACAATTCAAAAATTATAAATAACCCTACATATATGATAATTACAAACAACCCCTCAAAAGTATAAAAATGGCAAACCTCACCTAGAAAAAAAATCTTAAAATTAAAATAGTCCCCAAAAATTTTGCAAAAAACTCCCAAAAAATCTGAAACTTAAAATTCAAAAATTACAAATAGAGCCTCAAAACATATGAAAATCACAAACAACGCCCTAAAGGATAAGATAATTGCACTCCCTAAAAGATCAAAAAATTAAGAACAAACCCTAAATATTTTGTAAATTTCAAACCACAAAAAACATCTTTAAAACACAAAAAAAATCCAGCAACCCCTTTAAGTATCAAAAAGTTACATAACCCCCTCAAAATCTGAAATTGCAAAAAAACTTAAAACTTAAAAATCAAAAAAAAAATCTAATAGACCCCTAAATATTGAAAACTTTACAAACATCACTGTCAAAATATAAAAATTATAAAAAAGTTCATAGATATCTAAAAATTACAAACAACCCTTTGAAATTCCAAAATTGAAAACGACCCTCTAAATAATCAAAAAATTGGAAAAAGTTCCTTACAATTTGAAATTGAAAACAACCCTCTGTCTAATTTTAAATAACCCCTAAAAATCTAAAAACTACTAATAACCTCTTAAAAAGTCCAAAATTTACAAACGGGCCGCTGAAAAAAAACCTGAAAATTACAAGCAACCATTATTGGGGTTTTCTGCCAATATTTTATTAAAGGATAAGACAAAACTTGAATCTTATTAAGGCTTCAGCAAAAATTAACTAAAAGGACTAAATATCAAAATATTTAAGAAATTTGAGGAACTAATTCATAATATGAATATTTTGAGAACTGATTTTAAAACACTAAAAGATTTGGCGGACTATTTCCAAAATATCAAGTAGTGTGGGGCTATTTTCAAAATATCAAAGACTTGGGCACTAATATCAGAATAGCTTTAAGTTAGGGTGGTGCTACGGGGACCCTAAACATGGGACCCTATATGGGATAAGTGAGGTGTCGGTTCCCTGTCCCATGATGCATTGTTCAAACAGTGCATCATGCGGACAGAGAACCGACACCTCACATGTCCCATATAGGATCCCATGTTTTTGGGTCCCTAAGGCATTTTTTTTTTAAATTACAATAGTCCTACTGCAACAACTACGCTGCTGCCAATGAAAAGAAGCAATCATCAGGTAAGATACGCTCAGTAAAATATAGAGCAACTTTTGTAGTAAAATATATACATTGTTTGTCATTAGTACTCCAAAAAGCAATTTTTAAAGCATCGAGCTTGTAGTATGTGAGTTAAATGACAAATAATCCCTCTTCTATTTAATTTGTATCAACTATTTGTGTTTCTTACGAACTTAAAAAAAATCACATTTTTATATCCAGGTGAATTGAGCCTTTCAAGCAGTATTGTGCTAATTTTGATATCCATAAGTGAAAAATACTCATGATGCTTTTAGACCCTCAGTGTTTGTTGATTGTTGGTACAAGCCATTTAGGGGGTGTTTGTTTGCTCACAAAAAAAAGAGGAAAGGGAGCTTTTGAAATCTGACAACATAGCCACATCAGTTTTTAATTTCTACTCATTTTCATTTTCAGTGTTTGGTTCGTAAAGTGATTTAAAGAAATGGAGGTGTGAAATGTGCTGTCACGTCAGAATTTGTAGGAAACTCGTTCAAACCCAAAGTGAGTGAAATGGGTAAGAAATATATTTAATGAGTAATAAAATATTCTCACTCACCTTTTCGACATCCGAAGTGACTAAAGTGGCTGAAATGGATCAGATTTCTTAATTTTTGGATGTTAAAATAAACCCAAGAAATGAAAAACAATGATTTTCAGTCTATCATTTTATGGTGAAACAAACCAAATAAATCAAATATGAGAAATCCTCTGAAATGTACTGAAATGGTTTTCATCGTGATTTTGTGTTCTCTTTTTCTTTATGGAAATGTACCAAACAGGCCCTTAGCTGATGACAGACAATGATAAATTACCTATGTACCACAAGAAGAGGTACTATTACTTTTATTTGTTACACACTACAAATCGGCTGTTCCAATTTTGTAACTGATAACAGACAATAGATAAATTAAAGTTCTACTATAATCCTTTATATAAAGGGGAACCCTTTTATTTTCATTAATTAAGGGCTCCCCAGCTAAAGGTCATACTATTACAACCTGGCTCTTTGAAGTTCAAGCTTAGCAATTGTGCCAAGATGGACTTCATCAGGGCCATCAGCAATTCTCAGTGTTCTTGCGGTAGCCCACAAGTGCGATAAAACTGTGTCTGAAGACACACCAGCACCACCGTGAACTTGCATCGCCATGTCGAGAACTTGAAGTGCCATATTTGGAGTTGCAACCTGTTGAAAATTTTGTGCATTTGATTATTTTTCATTCCCAAAGTGTGTGTGTGTGTATATGCATGTCTGTGTCTGTGTGTGCGTGTGTGTATATATATATATATATATATATATATATATATAATATGAAGATCATTGGGTATCATTGTCATAGGAGGGGATTCCTCCTTGACGCCTATGTGGCACAATCCCCACCATTCCTCATAAGTAGGAAAGAGAGTGTGGTTGGAGGATTTGGGCCTACTTATATGATGATGGTGCGGGATTGCTGCCACATTAGCACGACAAGGAAGGAAAAATCTCCTCATATTGACAGGATAACCCATTATCTCTCTTCTCTCTCTCTCTCCTCTCCTCTCTCTCTTCTCTCTCTAATAATAAATATATAATATATAATATAGTATATATATAATATTTATTACCGCTTACACAAAGAAGACCTTATTTCCTCCTCTTTGGTGGAGATGTATGGTATAAATCACGTGTCATGATAATTAGTCCTCTAACTATTACCGGCCGTTTGAGGTTCTGGCGTTATAAATGCTAATGATAACGGTTAAATATGTATAAGAGTGGCTGCTTATCACCAAATTGCAGGGCGGGCTGTATCTGCTATTAAACTTCTTTAACGTTAGTCAACTTCCTTTACCTTTGCCATGGCGAGGATGCCACGAGCTTTTTTGTTTCCATGTCTATCAAGCTGATCTGCTGCTTGCAGAACTAAGAGCCGGGTTCTCTCCAGGTCTATTCGGCACTGCAAGATAGAGGAGATGTCTATTATCATACAAGGAAAAGGAAGGCAATTTTGCAAAGATTAGAACCCAAAGGTTGCATAATTATTAACTGAAGATAACATCACACAAGCAGTGGTTTAATCATCAAACACCACTTAAAGCAATGCAAATGCCTATCAGTTAAGAACACAGTGGAGTATTGCAGAGTCGTAAATGCTTGGAGGAGATGCATGAAACAACTCTTGTTTAAGGAATCATTCCACCGCAAACATTGAGCTGAAACAGGTATGCCAGCACTTCACTGGTAAAATAGCAGTATTCAATACAGGACGAATTCCAGCGCTTCAAAAGTTAGATGCCGCATAACGTGGTGAACAAAATGGGTGTTCATTTTCAATTTCGGCAATGAAAATAAAATCAGACATCACGTATATTGAAGGATGCTGGTTTTAATTTTCTAGATTATTAGAATCATAAATAGAGAAATGAAAGATAGATAATCTACTTTTGTTTAAAAAAAACATGCAGAAAACAACCACAAAGCTCACCTTGGCAAGGTCAGACAAAAAAGACCCATGCTCAGCAATCAATTTTCCAAAAGTCCTTCGGTGCAGAGCTCTTTCTACCATCAGTTTCATACCTCTTTCTGATGCTCCAATGAGTCTCATACAATGGTGCAGCCTACCAGGGCCAAGCCTCCCCTGCGAAGATAGAGAGTTGTCAGTAAGTTGAACAATATTGGATCTTCTGAGGTTATTTTTTGTACAAGTTCTTAACCTGGAAACTTTAATAATAGGGATTATATTCTATGCTTATCTTCCTTCTCTTTCAGCTTGTTTAATAATGGGAAAAGAAATGGATAGAAGTTCCTCAACTCACGTTAGTTTCAATTACATGACCAACTCCTAAAACCAACTCACGTTAGTTTCAATTACATGACCAACTCCTAAAACCGGAAAAAAGTGGAAAAATTGCTTTAAGTTACATTCCTTTCAATTCCATCACATTCTTGAAACCAGAGCGAAAAGAAACAAAAGGAAACAAAAAGCAAAAGAAAAGGAAATTGTCCCAATTTATATTCTTTTCAATTCCCTCATAAACTCTTGACACTGATAAACTTCTTTAGGAAAATAATCATACCTGTGCAATCTCAAAACCTCGGCCTTCTCCAAGCAAGATATTTTCCACAGGCACCCTCACATTTTCAAAAGTTACTTCTGCATGTCCATGAGGAGCATCATCAAAACCAAATACCAACAACGGCCTCTTTATATTGACCCCAGGGGTGCTAATATCTACTAATATCATTGACTGCTGCTTATGTTTGGCTGCAGTGAAATCTGTCTTCCCCTGAATGAGATGAACATAATTGTAGTAAGTACCAGGGAAATATAACAATATTGCTCCAGGTGTACAACTTACCATCACTATCAAAACTTTGCATCTAGGATCCATTGCTCCACTCGTCCACCACTTCTTTCCATTAATAATGTAAGAATTTCCTTGTCTGCATTATTAATGCAGAAAAAGTTAGGTGAAAAAACATTTCGAGCTGATGGCAATTAACTATGCACACTTAATTTTTGCGATTTCATGACTTATAACATGCTTTGCTTTTTTTCATATATGATTGTTTCAACCAAATGATAACAAACAATGCATACTTAAAAACTTCACAATTTTCATGAGCTATAACCCATCACTTTCGTCCATTTTCGTTCTTTTCTAGTCAATTGAAATTAATTATGCTTACTTCAAAACTCGCGCTCTTCACGGCCTATAAGGCCTGATTTTATTCCATTTTCATTCATTTTGACACATTGCAAATGTTAATATACGTACTTCATGATTTCGCGATTTTCATGAGCTTTAACTCACAAATTTCGTCGATATTCATTCGTTTCAACCAAATGCAATTAAGTGTAAGTATCTCAAAATTCTTGTTTTTCATAAGTTATCCTATGGTTTTATTTTTTTTCGTTTCGATCTAATAATTATAAGTATGCATATTTCAAAATTCCCAAGTACCTGCAACTTTTGTTGATTCCGTTCATTTCAATCGAATGACAATTATGTACACGTGACACAAAACCATTATATTTTACCATTTTTGTTCGCCCCGAGAAAATGACTATTAAGTACCATACTTTAAACTTCACAATTTCACATGCTATAACTCACAATTTTATTCATTGTCGTTCATTTCGACTAAATGACAATTAAGTATGCATGCTTCAAAACTTATAACTTTCATGAGCTACCCACAATTTTTATCTATCCATTCGTCTCAATCCAATGAGAACAAAGTTGTCATACTTATATTCGAGATTTTCATGGCAATTAAGCATTTGTATTTCAAACCTATGATTTTTGTCTATTTTCACTTCAACAAAATGGGAGTTAATTACGTGACGTTCAAAATTCACTATTTTCATAAGTTCTAACCAACGATTTTTGTCCCTTTTTGTTCCTTTGGATATCTCAGGAAATTTAAGAGATTGTGTACTTTAAAATTATACGGCTTTCATCCACAACTTTTATTTTCTTTCATTCAGTTCATCCCAATGACAATTAAATATGCACTCTTTAAAATTGACAATTTCCATAGGCTATAAATCACGGTTTTCATTCATGTTCATTCTTTTCTATCCAATAACAATTAAATATGTGTATTTAAAAATTCATAACTTATATATAACATACGATTTTTGTTAATTATCACTCATTTAGACCAATGAAAATTAAAGTTCACAATTTCCATGGGCTATAAGATACGATTTTTTAAATTATCATTCATTTAAATCTAATAAAAATTAAATACACGCATTACAAAACCACACTTTTTGTCCATTTTTGTTCATTTCGATCCAATAGCAATTAAGTATAAGTACTTCAAAATTTACTATTTTCATAGGCCATAACCAACCTTTTGTTCATTTCGTTCTTTTTGATCCAATAATATTTATGTATACATGGTTCAAAATACACAATTTTCATAGGAAACCCATGACTTTAGTCCATGTCATTTGTGATTTTTATAAGTTGTAATCCACGATTTAAGCCATTTTCGTTCCCTTCTACCCAATTACAATTAAGTTAGAAACACTTTAAACTTCACGTTTTTATAGACTATAACCTTCGATGTTTGTCAATTTTTATTCATTTCAACCCAATAAAATATATGCATGTATTATAAAACCATGTTTTTATGGCCATTTTCCTTCATTTCGACCAAATGACAATCAAGTATGGGAACTTCAAAATTCGAGCTTTTTTAGGGCTCTAACTTACGATTTTTGTTCTTTTCGATTGAATGGGAATTAAGAACACATATTCCAAAATACGTCATTTCGTAAGCATTAATTCACGATTTTCATTTGTTCCGATCTAATGCCAATTAAGTACATGTACTTCAAATTTTGCATTTTCATTGGCTATAGCCCACAATTTCCATCTATTTTTGTTCACTTCGACCTAATTACAATTAAGTTTGCACAATTTAAATTTTGCAATTTCTATAGGTTATAACCCACTACTTTTGCCAATTTGTTTTCCTTTCGACAAAATAGCGATTGAGTAGGTATATTTTAAAACCATGAGTTTTGTCCATTTTCATTCATTTGACCCAACAAGTATTGAGTATAGGTTTTTTAAAATTCACTATTTTTACGGGCTCTAATCCACGATTTTCGCCCACTTTCATTTACTGCGATCTAATTGCAACTAATAAATACATATAGGTGAAAATTTGCAATTCTATGAGTTATAACCCAGTATTTTGTTCATTTTAGCTCATTTCAACCCAATAATTAACTATTCGTATTTCAAAATTCACGATTTTCAGGATCTATAACTCACGATCTATGTTCAATTTCGTTTGGTTCGACCTTATCACAAATATGAGTGTTCTAAAATTCACGATTTTAATGGAGTCTAACCCACGATTATTGTCCGTTTCTATTTATTTTGAGTCAATAACAAGCATGCTTATTTTTTAAAGTCTCGATTACATGGACAATAACCAATGGATTTTGTTTATTTTTGTTCATTTAAACCCACTAATGACCAAGTATTGGGATTTCAAAATTTATGATTCCAAAGTTATAACCACATAATTTTTGTTCTTTTCAACCCAATGACAATTAGTTATGCACATTTCAAATTTCACAATTTTCATTGGCTATAACCCAACATTTCTGTCCATTTTTATTTTTTTCAATCAAATGCCAATTAATCATGTGTCCTTAGTGCAATTTTCAAGGGCTATAAGCCGTGATTTTGTTTCATTCTCGTTCATTTCGACCCAATAGCAATTAAATATGTAACTATGCATACTTAAAGATTTTGCGATTTTCATGATCTAATAACTCGGATTTGTGTATATTTTCATTCGTGCCATCCACATGGCAATTTTTAGTATGGGTACTTCTAGATTCACGATATTCATGGGCTATAACCACAATAATTGTCAATTTTTATTTATTTCAACTAGATGACAATTGATGTGTATTTCAAAATCATGATTTTTGTTGATTTTCTTTCATTCGACCCAACAAGTATTAAGTATAAGTCTTTTAAATCCACTATCTTTATGCGCTCTAACCCATTATTTTCCATCCATGTTTATTTATTTTGATCTAATTGTAACTACGTACATATAGTTCAAAATTCACAATTTCATAGGCTATAACCCACTTTTTTTCTTTCAACCAAATGATTAACTATGAGTTCTTCAAAATTCACGATTTTCATGAACTATAATTCACGATCTTTGTTCATTTCATTTGTTTCAACCTTATGACAATTAGGTATATATGTTCCTAGATTCATGATTTTAGTGGACTCTAACACAATTCTTGTCCATTTCAATTTATTTCGAGTCTATGACAAAGTATGCATATTTTCAAAATTCATGATTCCATGGACAATAATAATCAATGATTTTTGTTTATTTTCAGTCATTTTAACCCACTGACAACTAAATATGTATAATTCAAAATTCAAGATGTCATAAGTTACACTTCATGATTTTCATTCTTTTCATTTGTTTTAACTTCATGACAATTAATTATGCATATTTCAAGTTTCATAGTTTTTATTGGCTATTATCCATCATTTCTGTCCATTTTCGTTTTTGCGATCAAATGTCAATTAATCATGCGTACTTAGACAGTCCGATTTTCAAGGGCTATAAACTATGACTTTGTTCCATTCTCGCTCTTTTGACCCAATAACAATTAAGTATAAAACTATGCATACTTCAAGATTGCTTAATTTTCATGAGCTATAAGTTTATAACCAATTTTCATGGGTTATAACACACGATTTTTGTCAAACTTTGTTGCTTCCGACTAATTGGCAATTTAGTATGTGCATTTTAACACAATATTTTTTGTCAATTTTAGTTCATTTGACCCAACAGGTATTAAGTATAGGTATTTAGAAATCGTAATTTTTTAGGCTTCACCCTAAGATTTACGTCAATTTTCATTCTATTTCGATCGAATTGCAAGTAAGCACATAGTTAAAAAATTGCATTTTATGGGTTATAAGCAATAATTTTTGTTCATTTTTGTTTGTTTCGACCTAATGATTAACTATGTTGCTTCAAAATTCATGATTTTCATGAGCTAAAAACCATGATTTTTATTCATTTCATTTGTTTCAACCTTATGACAATTAGGAAAGTGCGTTCTAAAGTTTTACGATTTTAATGAACTCGAACGCATATTTTTTGTCTATTTCCATTGTTTTTGAGTCATTGACAATTAAATATGAATATTTTTAAAATTCACGATTTCATGGATAACAACCAATTACTTTTGTTCATTTTAACCCTTTCAATACCAAGTATTTGCTCTTCAAAATTCATGATTTCACGAGTTATAGACTATCGTTTTTTGTTCTTTTCATTTATTTCGATCTAGTGATAATTAATTATGCATATCTCAAAATCCAAGTTTTATTGTGTATGATCCCTAATTTTTGTCCATTTTTCCGATCAAATGCTAATAAATTATGCAAACTTAGAAATTGTGATTTTCAAGGGCTATAAACCCATGATCTTGTTCTATTCTTGTTCCCTTCGACCAATGTCAATTAAGTATACAACTAAGCATACTTCAAGCTTTCCCGATTTTCAAGAGCTATAACTCATAGTTTGTGTCAATTTTCATTCATTTCAACTAAATGGAAATTAAGTATAGAAACTTCGAAAGTCGCGATTTTCATGATCTATAATCCACGTCTGGGTTTAATTTTCGATCCTTTAGCCTATATGGCAAGTGAGTATAAGTATTTCAATATCACGATTTTTGTCAATTTTCATCAATTTTATTCATTGGACTAAACAATATTTTAAATTCATTTTTTATTTATTTATAACCCATGATTTTTGGTCATTTTTATTTATTTTAACCAAATGATTAGTTATGCGTACTTTAAAATTCACAATTTTCATGAACTATAATGCATGATTTTTGTTCATTCCATTTGTTTCAACCTTAT